TTCAGCGTTTGGCTTTGGTTACACAGGATATTCTGCTAGATTTGTAACACATATTGTGATAGGGTCAGCGACCTGTGGGGCTTTTTTAATAGGAGAATCAAAGTGTATTTGAGAATGAGCTTAATTTGCTGAGGACTTGAAACTGGTATGCACCTGGTTAGTCTGTCTTAAATCAAGGTTGAGCCTTTGTAGAATCCAGCAGGTGCAGAGTGTCTGACTGGCACCAGAATTTGCATTGCACATTTTCAACATCTGTTTAAAAAGTAAACTTCTAGCAGAAAATACCTCCATATGAACACTTAACTGAAAGGTAAAGAAATCCAAGTTCTGCCTTAGCAGGAAGCTCCCAGTGGAAGCTGTGGCTCACCTTAAGAAAAGTGAAGGAATCTGGGACAGCTTAAACGGTATTGTATGATTTCTTTTTGGTTGTCCTGGCTGAAATCTAATTGTTTTGCACGTGAAAACAATTCTTTTCTCCAGCAGAATTACTTTCCATCGTTTGTTCAGATGTGAGTACCTTGCAGAGAAGCCTTGTGAGGAGAAGACAGAGGATGAAGATCCATTCAATCCCAAAGCTGTGATTTCTGTGCCACTGTTTTACCCAAGATGTGTTTGTGTGACTTTAAATTCTAAGACTCACGTGGAAATCACTAAAAGTCAAGTTAACAGAACAAACTCCTGCTTCAAATTTTTTGGCCTTGGGAAAGATTTATTTGGAGATTGAGATGAAAGGGGAACTGCATAGTGAATACATTCTAAATGTTACAGAAAGCTATTGGAACAATTTATGACTTCAGTTATGTAGGGATGAAAATTTCTCCAGAGAGCCATAAGACTATTTTTTCCAATATCTGAAACTGATATTAAAAGGTTTGTTCTCTAACACAGGGGAAACAAAAGCAAATCCAATACCTGAATGTCTTGATTTGAAACACAGGTGTCTGCTAAGGAAGGCAGGAGCCTCCCTTGTAATGGAAAATGTAAACCCCTTCCCTCCAAATTATTACCATTTTAAAATTAAGGGGCTTTCAGGCAAAGATACGAGAAATAGGAATAATGGCTCTTTACTAGTATATATAACAAGGCAATAATACAGAAACACTGGCTTAAAGTGATGGAGTCAGGCTAGGAGCTGACACCCTGTTGGCCAGGGTGGTGGTGGCAGCCCGAGTTAGTGGTGGCTGCAGTCCTGGTGAAGTGATAGATGTGGTTCTCTTGAAGCAGGGATCTTGTAGAAGGGTCTGGTCTTCCTCTGAAGGTCTCCAGTGGTGGTTATGTAGCTCTTGTCCTCTGGGAATGCAGTAGGTAAAGGCTGTGCTGTTCCAAATCTCAGATTATATCCAGGTAGGAACCACCTTGGTTCCTCCCCTGGGTGGAGCATCTCACCATGGGATAATGTAATTTTGTCAGTCATGCATTGAGGCCCAATTCAATAAGATAATTCCTCCAGAGGGAGTTATCAGGGATGTGTCATGGAAGAGATAAAGAGCACTGCCCCACTTGGTTTTAACAGATTGTGATAGAGTACATACTTTTGGTTACATCTTACATTGTAACCTAAGACACTGAATCACTAACATTTTTCCAGTTGGCACACCAAGATGAGACAGTATTTTAACAAATAATATGGCTTCAGAGAGACCCAGTTATCTGTCAAACGTGTCTAAACTTAAGCAGACTTGCTTGTATAGGATTTTTTTTTCTTTGGCAAGCCTGATTTTTAGGGAGATTCATGACTGAACCACTTAACAGATGTTGCATTAATGGAATAATGGAATAGTGCATTGAAATTCAGCTGTGGGTAAGAGACTGTCCTTAGGAGATGTCTACTGGAATACTTCTATTTTGATTTTTATTTAATTGCATTTGGTAATAGCTTTAAACTGTGATAGGACAGAAAGTAGACACTTGTCAAAAGCTGGCATCTTTCTCTGTTTTGTTTGTTTGTGGTTTTGTTTTTGCCATTGACCATAATTTTTGTGATTTGTTGCCGGGAGTCGCGTGGGAGGTGTAAAGTTGTACCATATTGTGAGATTTGCACAGGGTGGCTAAAGGTGCTCATCCTGCAGGACTGTACAGGAGAGGATGTTCAGCCCCCTGTTCTGTGGGGATCTTTTGGCACTTGGAGCCCAGTTTCTGCAGTTCTGGTTGTTGGGATGTGCAGCAGTTGGCAGACAGCATCCCTGCAGTCCCAGGCTGAGTAGCAGAGTCCCCACAACCCTGGATTTTCCAAATTGCTTTGAAGTCAAACCTGTTCATAGAGTGTATTTAATCCTTTCAGTACGTTTGAATGTGCAATAAACCAGTCAGATAGGAAAAATGCAAAATGGAGTATTGCCCAAAAGCTTTGCATGCAATCTCATGTGGATTTTTCACTAAAAGAAGTGTAAAAAAACCCCAAAAACCCACATACTAAAGCCCACCCCTAATAAAAATCCTGTCACACCTGCAGCACAACTGGCTCAATACAAACCAAGTGAAGTGAAGGGAAAGGCCCCTGACTTGGAGATCTGTAGGTCAAGTAGCTTTATGTCAACGACCCAGTTGACATAAGATAGTTCCTAATGTCTTTGCTAGGTCAGTGTTTTATTGAATGCACAAAATAAGAATAGGCAAGGATTGTTGTTTGGAAAAGTCTCTGTTTTTTGCTGTATTTAAAAGCCCTTGTCAAGGTACCTCCTCTGTGCTGACAGTAACAAGAATAGGGCACTGTCTTTTAAATGATTTCAGTTCTCTTTTCAACAGCTTCACCACCTCTCCCATCGTGTTGTCTTTGCAATTTTGTGCCACTTCAGTGACGACAGAGACATTTTTTGTCTTGTTCTGTACGTGCATTTGAGGCAGGCCTTAAAGCTGGTTGTGTGGATGGAGGAACAGCAAGAAGTGAGGCAGAATGGCTTTGGAGCCATGGGCTGTTCTTGCAAGGCCAGGGAAGGACAAAATGCCAGCAGGAGTTAGCTTGGCTTGAGCCAGTGGCTCTCAGAGGTCTGGGATAACCTCAGCTGTCTGAATTTGTGTGTCCATCCCCTCTCTCTCTGCCAGCACTTGAACTCGGTTGTTACTCTCAAACTTGCCCAAAGAAAACCATGGAGTCCCTTGTTGGTGTTGCCATTCCACGTTCCAGCGCCGAAACTCTTGGGTGTGACCCGAAGGGAAAGCGAGGCACAGCACAGTGGGTGTCCCTGCTGTGCCACACAAACCCCTCTGCTGCAGCAGCCCTGCCCTGGTGCTGCTCCTCAGCCTCTACTCTACGCTCAGGGATGTAGGAAACCACCACTGTGCTCGTGTGCTCCAGCAGGAACAAAGCAGACTGTTGGGTGGATGGGTGTGAGTGTTCTCTTGGGCATTATGTTAAACGAGACCCTGCTCCAGAAAGGCTGCTCCAAGCTCCAGGCGGTGCCATCAGCTCAGCAGCGTGTCCTCAGTTCAAGTGGAGGTGGTTGTAAAATCCAACAGGTTTTGTAAATTACTGATCCAGCCACCAGGCCAGGTTCAGGGCTGTGTGGCACAGCAAATTCCCAGAAACACAGTATGGATCTGGTTTTAATCTGTTAAGTTTTTTTTTGTTGTTGTTATCGTTGTTGTTGTTCCTCAACCACTTTATAATGTATTTTTTTAATTTATTATTTTGTAATGTCATGTTTAAGTATTGCTGCTATCCTTGTTATTCTTCCCACTGTTTTTATTGCAGATTTATTTTGTGGAAGTTGTACACTAATGTTTCATTTTATGTCTAAATCAAAGTATTTAAGGAAATACTAGTTCTATTTAATGTGGTTATGGAACCAGCTGGAATAAACAGTGATTGTATAGTAGGCTGGACCCAGGAGGTCATGTTCATTTTTGTTACATATGCAATAAACTCACAACTTTAAACTCTTGGTAGCTACTGTTTTGTTTGTTAAAATATTTGTGGGAATCAGAGGAAAAGAGTGGACAAAGTATCAAAACACAGCTGATTTTAAGAGCTCTATAAGGACTGCCCAGATGAAAGTCCTCTGCAGGGAGAATACTTTTCCAAAACCTCAGTTTGCAGAAAGAAATTATAATCTCCCCCTTAATGAAAGCTGGAGAAAGATTCACTAATGTTGATGAATCCTTGCTTTCCTGTTTATTTGGTTTTTTCCCTAATTACTGCTGCTTTGCAAGTGGAGAAGGACAGGAGCAGGTCCGAGGAGGGTGCTCAGTGTTGGTGTGTGCTGCAGCAGTGCCTTCCCTCCCTGATGCTGAAAGCTGGGGTTTCTTCTGGCCAGAATTTTGTTCAATAAATAAATAAAAAAGAAGGGAGTACAAATAAAATGATTTTTATTCTTTGAGTAATTTCACAGTATGAACAAATGACGGGGGAGCTGCTGCAGCCCACCCCTCGTGTCAGCCAGCAGCAGGGACTGAACGATTTCATTCCCTGGAGCAGGAAATCGTGTCACTTCTTCAGTGCTCTGTCACACACTGACACCGCTGTTTCTCTTTAATAACGACTTTTTGTGAAATTTTCCTGATTTCTGATTTGCTTTTGGTGCTAAGAGAGAGAAGGATCCTTGTAGCCTGCTCCAGGGGGATCCCATGCAGAGATTCTGGACCCCCCTCCCCATTGCTGACCCCCAAAAAGTTCAGTTCTGACCCCCCCGACCCCCTACCTATTGCTGAGCCCCTTAAAAGTTCAGTTCTGCCCCCCTCCCCATTGCTGACCCCCCCAAAAAAGTTCAGTTCTCCCCCCCCCGACCCTGAGCCCCCCAAAAAGTTCCGTTCTGCCCCCCCGGCCCCGCCCCTCACGCACGTGCGACTCTGGCCACGCCCCCAGGCCCCGCCCCCTCCCCCGGGAGCACCGCCCGCCCGGCAGGGGGCGTCCCGCGCCGCTGCCCGCCCGCCCCCTGTGTCTCTATGGTAGGTTGGCCGGGCCGGGCCCGCTCGCGCCGCCCGTCCCCGCGCGCCGCTCTGTCCCTCCCTGGCCGTGTCTCTATGGTGCGGGGCGGCGCGGTCACGTGGCGCGGGCCGGGCGGAAGCGGCGGGAGCGGCGGTTAAATGAAGCGGGGCCGGAGAGGTGGCGGGGCCGCTGAGTGCCGGTGTGACCCCTCCGTCCCGCGGAGCCGGTGAGTGCCGGGACGGCCCTGCTGCCCCACGGGGCGTCCCTGGGCCTCGCCGGACCCCTCGCCGGACCCCTCGCCGCGGGGTCGGGCGCTGCTCCCGGCTGGGCCTGTCCTTAGGGACGGATCGTTCTCTCCCCTCTCCCCGCGTCCCCTCAGGGCCCGGTGTCCGTTCCGTCCGTTCCTCTTCCCCCGCGTCCCTTCAGGGCCGGTCCTTCCCCTCTCTTCCCGTCAGGGACGGGTCGTTCCGCCGTAGCGCTTCCCTTCAGGGACGGGTCCCCCGCGTCGCCGTCCCCGTGTCCGTCCTCCCGTCCCCCTCCACGTTCATTTAGGGCCGAGTCCTTCCTCGCTGTCCCTCGGGATCGGGGACACCCCCTCCCGCTCCGGCTCCCCTCAGGGCTGGCTCCTTTCCCTCCGCCCTCCATCCCCTCAGGGCCGCTCCCTTCTCCCCCTTCCCGGGGCTAGGGGGTCCCTTCACCACCCCCGTGTCCCCCGCAGCCCCGAGGGACACCCGGGACAGGCGCTGCTCCCGAGGCTCCTCACGGCTGTGCCGGTACCCCGGGCCGGGGGTTGGAGTCGGGGATGAGCCGGAGCTGGTGGGCAGAGAAGGGTAAAAGATTTTTCTCTTCTGACCCCTGTTCAGTGTGGGAGCACTCGGTGCTGTTGGGACGTCTCGACATTTCAGGTATCTGCTGTGGGAGCTGCTGCAGGAAAGAAACCCCAAACACAGCTGTCCTCGGAGCTGAGGGATCAGTGTAAGAGATACTCCTCTTCCTCCTCTTCTTCTCTATTGATCCAAGTGCCAGCCAGCCGTGGTGGAGCACAGCCTGGGAGTGTTAATGTACACTGCGTTTATGGAATGAGCTTTTCTGCCCCTGGAGCTGACCTTGTTCCCCCAGATGGCTGCAGGCAGGTTGGAATCCCACCCAAGTCTGAGCTGTGGGGAACTCAGGCATGTGTGTGTGAAGAGAGGAGTGTGAGCTGGCCCGGGGCAGTGCTTTGGGGTGGGCAAAATGTAAATTGGCTTAAAGAGTCATCCCATGGATCCCCGGCTTTGCAGCTGTGCTGGCTGGTACCCCGGGTGGGTAACGGCTGCTTGCACCTGCCAGCCCAGCCTGGGGAGTTTTTCCTTTCATCTCACCTGTGCTTTATGACCTGGAGTGTTGTCTTTGACTGTCCTCCAGTACCTTACTTTAGAATCTTACTGACAGATGCTTATAACAGTTTTCATACAAATAAGTTTAGCTGTTGATGTTTCTGTTCAGTTTCTTACGGTTTGGTCACTGTCCTGAGACCTCTGATGCTTTGAAAGAGAAGAGCTGATATTGCTGCTGTGCACTTTTATTTCCATAATCCAGGCATGATGTTGAGGGACTAAAGCTTGATGTCCATGTGCTTTTCAGAGTATTCCCTCTTGTGTTTCTTTCCCTGTGGAACAGGCAGCAGTTCTGGAAGGTGCCTTAGTGACTGAGAGGCACAGCCAAAGACCTGTGGGCAGATCTCTGCTTCTCCGTTCTGTCTCTGTGGAGGTTGATTCCTCTTTTTTAACAATTTCTGCTCGTGCAGGTTTCCAGTGTAGCAGTGGAGGGAAAGGCAGGTGTCCCCCGTCAGGCATTCAGACTGGCCTTTGCAGGCTCAGCTAACGTGGCCTCTCCTGCTTTCAGAGAGGATGGCATGAGAGTTTTTCCTGCAGCAACCTGTTTGAAAGGTGAGGCAGGAAATCTGAGACCCATCATTCTGCAGATCCAAATCTTGAGCAGCCTCTGGTACATCCCTGAACAGGTACAGGGCCTGTGCTGCTCAAACCATGGGGTAGCACCCACTTTGTTTAGGACTGGGAGGATTCCAGGCACAGCTTTTAATTCCAGAACTCTGGGATTTACAGCTTTAATATGTGCTTTTAATTTTTAGGATGAATACTGTGCAAAAATTCCACTGCCTTACATCAGGCTTTCTGCAATTGTAAACACGTTAATGGATTTCATGTGCTGGGTGTCTTGGTGGTGTGACTGCATGCTAATAAACAATCATCTTGACAGGAGTTTGTGCCTGGAACACCAAGACTTGGGAAGGGACTCAGACAGATTTCCTGAAGCTCTGTAGACATTCAGCCTGCTTGGAGGTGCTGCACTGTGGTGACAGGCTTGCTTCCATCTCTTTTTCTTGCTTCCTAGGACGTTTTCCTTCTGGTTGCGCTGGCTGCAGGCAGTCAGGGCAGGAGCAGCAGTTCCTAGAAGGGCACTTGGGGCAGGTGTTCCTGGTGATAAGGTGCAGGATTCCAGGATTGTGGATTCCAGCAGGGTGCTGGCAGCCTGTTCCTGGCCTGGAGTTCAGGAGCTGCCTCGGAAATCCAAATTCCGGGGCAGACCAGTGCTTTGTCTGCCTGAGAATGCAGTGGGCGTTCCTGCTGCTGCTGAGGCTTGTGCTTTGAAATTGGACACAAATCACTGCGAAGTCCTGTGGCAAGGATAGGTGGGGCAAACACACAATTCCTGCGCAGCTGGAGAGATGCAGGAAGCATTTCCCAGGGGCCAGGAGCTGATTAGCAACCTGGAGTAGCACAAACCCAAGTGCAGGGGACGTGGAGCCCTTCGGGTGTTGTTTAGTGCCTGCTGGAAGAAGCTCCCATTCATTAATTTGGAATGGGTGTCTTATTTTTATTTATATCTCTCTAAAGCCATTGTGAGTGGTTTGCTGTGTGTGAGTGCCAGCAGTGCTGGGTGTTGGGCCTTGCCACTGGCTGCATTCTTTCTGGGACAGTCAGAACTGCACCAGTCATTGAAAGTTTGAAGTTGATTTTTTTTTGTTTTTGTTTTTTGCAGATGGATTTGATCTGGAGATATTTTTAGACTCCCTTTAAATTATTGAATTTAGACATCATTGTAACTGCTTAAAGATGAGGCATTAATGGTCTCCAAAGCCTGTGTGTGCACTGAAGTGATGGTGGGGTTTAGAGCTGCTTCATGTAACTGGGATTACTCCCAGTAGCACCAATCCCAGTGGGACAGGTGCCTTTTTAAACACAGCAGAAGGTGTGAAACACTCAGCTGCCTGGGACAGCAGCTGTCTCCCAGGAGATAAGGTCATTTGTGTACAGCCTGGGAGTTCCTGTGTTTGAAATGGAGCTGAATAATGGGCTGGCCAACATTATTCCAGAGTAGTTTTGTTTTTAAGGAGGTTACTGGAAGTGGGAGATGTGGGAAATTGGGGAGGGGTAGGCAGAGGAAGCAGGAAAAGAGGGGAGAAAAAAAGCCACTTAGCAGTGTCCTGGTGGCTGGAGTAAGTTATGTTTGTCAAAGCACTAAGATGAGAGATAATAAGGAGTGTCTCACTGAGCTGGGATAATCTCATTCTCACCAGCCTTTGTGTCACTTTTATAGAATTTCAAGTTTATTTTGGACTATCTCAGGAGTGATATTTTTCCTCTGGGTCAGTGCTTAAGGCCTTGCAATGGTTTTAAATTCATAACAATCCTTGAGAAAGCTTAATTCCTGAGGATGGGAAGTGATATTCCTTCTGAATGACACCTCTCTCCTAATTACCAGCCCTGCTGTGGTTCCCTGCCTGTGTTCATGGGGGGAACTGTCAGTGCCTGATTAAGTGGAAAAACCATTGGGCTTTAGGGGAGGATTTCACTGTGAGGCAGCTGCTACCCCGAGCCACACTGTCACCTCACAGTGTTCCTGACCCAGGTCAGAGGAATTTAAATTAAACATGTGGATTCCTCTCTGGCTTTGGGGTGCCCCACTCCTGTGCTGGTGGTGCCCAGCTGCTCCCAGGGTGAGTTTTGGAGGCTGTGGTTGCCCCTTGTAATGAGAAGCGAAGTTGATGAGCTGAAATAAAAGTGGGAGTGTTTGTGGGTGGCAGGGTGGCCTGAAATGTTTTCAGTGGTGTTGCTCCCTCAGCCTGCTCTCCCCTGCAAGGAGGCCAAGCTGCTGTTTGCATTATTCAGAGGAACATTTGGATGGGATCTGTAGAGGCACCACGTGATGCTGCTCTGCAGCACAAGGTGGTTGGGATCTGCACTGGCTGGGATCTCTTTGTGGGTGAATATAAGAATGAAAAATGGCCTCAAGTGATATGTTTTGTCCAAAGCACTCCTTGCACAAGGCTTCTGTACTGCTTTATCCAGACTGACTTGCTCTTACCAAGCTGTGGGCACTGCTCCTGTTATTCCTTGGAGGAAAGCAGGCAGGGTCTGGCTTTTTGCAGCCCTTGCAAAACCAGAGTGAGGAACAGATTTACACTTCCACTTCCAAATCCCATCCCAGAGACATGATGTGTTTTTGTGTGGTGGATGGGGAAGGAAAACCTCTCCCTGATGCTTCTTGCAGATCACTTCTGCTTGAAGGCCAGTCTTGGAAGGAGCACTGGCCCCTGTACCCCTGGCAAGTACAAACTCTGTTGGACAAACACATTTCAGGGGGTTGGCAGAGGGAAGGGACAGCAGTGCTGACAAGCTGCCTGCAGCACAGCCACGATGCTGCTGAGGACTTTCCTCCTCTCCCTGCTCTGCTGTCATGTGCTGCAATGCAATTTGAGGGAGATGACAGCAGCAGCATAATGGGGAGGCAGGAAAAGCAGCTCTTTCTTTCCTTTCAGGAAAGCAGCAGGGTAGGGCATTTAATGCCTCCTGTGCTGCTGGGATTTCCAGCTACGGATGAGCAAGAGCTGGGAGCAGTAACTTGGCTAATGTAAATAGTTCCTTGTGGATTGTTAAAGCTGAATCCTTTTGTACTGGAGCTTCATTGTGTATCAACTGGGAGGTGCCCTTGGATCTGCCAGGGCTAGCACAGAGCAGCTCACAGGCTGGAAGCACCTCTGCCTTGGACACAGTGCCTGGGGAGTGCTCTCAGCTCAATGTGTTGTGTTTATTTAGTAATTTGTGGCTTTTTTACTGTCACTCCAGCCCAGCTAGTTAAATAATCTGTCTGATAGTGCAAACGCAGGAAGGGAATGTCTCTTCTGCTGTGAGGACTCACCCAGTGTTGGACACGGGTGTGTTGACCAAGGGTGGGCACAGATTCACTGCCTGTAACAGTCTGTCCTTAAGTGCTCTGAGTGCAGCCTGTAACCCCCTGGTTTTGTAGTCCTGTGTCTGTGAAATGTTGGTTTTTGCCTTGGCATTAATGGGTGGTACAGTCTCATTAATCTACAGGACTGTGAACCTGGAGAGTTAACATGCAGCTCCTCTTTTCTCCCTTTTTAGCTCATCATTCATTCATTTGTGAACTTTAGTAGTCTCAGAAGAGATTCATGCTGGATGTGGAGCATCTGTAAATCCAGCCACCATCTAATTTCACTGTTTTCTGTTCTGATACAGTGGTATTTACCTCAAATGCAGCCTCTTTGCTTTTCTGCTATTTTAACATACTCAAACTCCACGGTGGCCACTGCCATGTGACGTGGGTGAGGTCAGGCTGGACAACTGTCATGAGCCTGGAAGGCTGCCCTGGCTTTTCACTGCTGGGAGCTTGCTGGGCTGGAATTGGCTGCAAGGCTCCACGTGGCTGTAAACAAAACTAAACCCACTTTTACAAAGGCTGTGCTGCCTGTCTGGAAAATCTTTTGACAAGTGGTCATCTGTGGTGCTGGAGCAGTAAGGAGGTAGTTGCAGTTCTTCAGTGACAGTGCTCCTCCAGCAGCACTTGCTGGGTGCAAGAGGAGCTTATTTTTCACTCTTTCCAGCAGAAATTGGTGCAGAGCATGGATTTGTAGGTCAGGTGTTGGCACCTGTCTTACAGGGTTCTGTTGGTATTTTACTCTGAGTAGGTAAGGCCATTTAGGACTTATCACTGTGAGCTTGGCCTGTTGGCCCAGTCTGGCTCTAAACTGGCTTTTGTGTATATTTAAACCCTTAATTGATTGTGTAAAAGCATCTTTGAAAGTGCCTGACCTTGCAGGAGGAGCACATGTAATTTGAGTGGTAGGGATAGGCTGTGGCTGTATCAGCTTAAGCTGTAGTTTGAGATCTTCCTCCTTCTTGCATTTTATTTTACCACCTTAATTCTGTTCTCCCAATTCCACCATGTGTGGAGGGTGTCTGATCTGAATCCTACAAAAGTGTTGTTCAGGGCATTTCCTCTCAAAGCTGTAAGAAGTGCTGGAGGAGCTCAGTGTGAGGGGAGGAAACAAGCTGTGGTGTGGGAACATGAGTATCCTTAACAGGTATTGAAGTGAAACCCTTCTGAGCATGAAGCCACAGCTTCTGGCTGCTGACCTTTGGAGCTGTGGCAAGTGCAGGTGCTTAATGTGGCCCTAAAAAAGGGCATGGCTGTTGTAACCAGAATATGTGACCTGTGAGTCATTCTTTTTGGAAGTCCCTCACTCTGGATGTTTGACACCTGCAAGGATTGGTGGCAGGCTTTTGGGTCAGTAGTTCTGAAAGTGTTCTGCAGATTGACAGGGAACTTCTTTTTGCCAAAGTGGGCTGCTGGAGGAACTCAGATTTTTTTTTTTCCCTGTGTGCCACCTCAAGGTCAAGTCTCGCCTTTTGTGTTGTCAGCAGCTTTGAGAACGAGGTGAGGTGTGCTGTGCTTGAAAGCAAAGTTTTTTGTGATAAGTTCAGGTCACATTTAAAATAAAATAAAATACAAAAATACCCCTTTCCACATTTTTTTATTGGTGGTGCATTATGCTTGTAATTTTTTCTGGAGCACGGCTTCCCAAGTGCAGCTTGGGTGGTTTCCTGAGTGGCATCCAGGATGCCATCAGAGCCTGTCAGTTGCTTGTGGTTTTCAAGTCCTCTGGCTGCCTCTGGAACTGAACCTGACTCTGTGCTTTCCAGCCCTTTTGGTTTTGGTCTTGTCCCTCTCTGCTGCTTTTCACAGCAGTTTGCTGGTTGTATTCTCCCTGCTCTCAGTGCCCCTGCACACAGAGCTGTGAGCTGAGCAGGCTCCTGGTTGCTCATCAGTGAGAATGTCAGTGCCACTGCCTGTCCCAGCAATCTTAAATCCTTTATTTCTGTTTCCTCTCCAGTGAAAACAGAGCTAGGATGGGAACCTGAATGCTCCTGAAGACATTCATCCAGCTTGTTAAATAACTACTTAAAAGGTTGCACTTGGATTTCTTTGTTCTGTTAAGCTCTTTAAAGTGGCATTCAGGATGCCTTAAAAAAGAAAAGAAAAAAGGGGGGAAACTAC